GGCAACATGGTGAAACCCCATCTCTACTAATACAAAAATTAGCTGGGCATGGTGGTACACGCCTGTAATCCCAGCTATTAGGGAGGCTGAGGCAGGAGAATCGCTTGAACCTAGGGGACAGCGGTGCACTACAGTGAGCCGAGATCAAGCCACTGCATTCCAGCCTGGGCAACAGAGGGAGACTGCATCTCAAAAACAAACAAACAAAAAAACGTTCAAAAAGTAGATGGAGTCATAAAACCTCTACCAACTACATGCCTCTTTAAAGACATGATTTAAGTAAAAGCTACAGTTCTACTTTTATGAAATTTTTATTTAAAAATGTGGTATCTAGGCCTATGGCTATAGGCTTATGTGTGTAATCTTAGCACTTTGGGAGGCCAAGGCAGCAGGATCACTTGAGCTCAGTAGTTTGAGAGATCAGCCTGGACAACATAGTGAGAAATCATCTCTATTTAAAAAACAAAAAGAGCCGGACACAGTGGTGTGTGTCTGTAGTCCCACCTACTCAAGAGGCTGAGGCAGAAAGATCGCTTGAGCCCAGAAGTTCTGGGCTGTAGTATCCTATGCCGATTGGGTGTCTGCACTAAATTAGGAATCAACATGGTGGCCTCCTGGAAGTGAGGGACCACCAGGTTGCCTAGTGAGAAGAGAACTGGGCCAGGTCAGAAACAGAGCAGGTCAAAACTCCCATGCTTATCAGTAGCAGCACTGAGTCTGTGAATAGCCACTGCACTCCAGCTTGGGCAACACAGTGAGACCCCTGTCTCTTAAAAAAAAAAAAAAAAAAGTAAGCATGGAATCCACTTCTCTGCTAACTTCTAAAAATTAGTCTTAGTTCTTTCTCTTTGCCAGAGGAAGCAGGATCTAATTTTAAAATTTAAAAGTACTTCTATGTGGCTTCACATAACATATTTGTCTTACTGCTAATTCTTCTGAGCTTGATATGAGAATGTAGTAGATATTAAAAGGATGGTAAAGATAAACACTACTTCATCTTTAAAAAGTAATTTTAATGAGGTTTATCCAAGTATCGCTGTTTTTTGTTTTGTTTTGTTTTGCTTTTGAGACGGAGTCCTGCTTTGTCACCCAGGCTGGAGTGCAGTGGCGCAATTTCGGCTCACTGCAACCTCTGCCTCCCCAGTTCAAGCAATTCTCCTGCCTCAGTCTCCCAAGTAGCTGAGACTACTGGCATGTGCCACCATGTCTGGCTAATCCAACTACCGTTTTTGTTGTTGTTTTTGAGATGGAGTCTTGCTCTGTCGCTCAGGCTGGAGTGCAGTGGCGCGGTCTCGGCTCACTGCCAGCTCCGCCTCCCGGGTTCACACCATTCTCCTGCCTCAGCCTCCCGAGTAGCTGGGACTTCAGGTGCCCAGCACCACACCCGGCTAATTTTAGTAGAGACAGGGTTTCACCGTGTTAGCCAGGATGGTTTCGATCTCCTGACCTCGTGATCCGCCCGCCTCGGCCTCCCAAAGTGCTGGGATTACAGGCGTGTGCCACCGCGCCTGGCCTAATCCAAATATAGTTTTAAAACATTATTTTGACGTCTACACTATTTACATACTTTACATATTCAAAAATAAAATCCTAAGTAAAAACTGAAACCTATGAACCATAACAAATTGGTAGCATAACCAAAGAAAAGTATTTCAAGTGACGCAGTACTCATTATACATTCTTCACACAATACAGTCTAAATATGAAAATGCAAAGAAATCTTAAACTTTATGAAGCTTATTGATATTAGTAATACCAGCACTACAATTTTAAAATGATTTTATGTATACAGTGGGAGAAAGTAAATAGGTTTATTAATTTTTTTTTTTGAGACAGGGTCTCACTCGTCATCCAGGCTGAAGTGCAGTGGGGCATGAACATGGCTCACTGCAGCCTTAACCTCCTGGGCTCAAGCAATCCACCTGCTTCAGCCTCCTGAACAACTGGGAACAAAGGCACACACCACCATGCCTGGTTCATTTTTTAATTTGTTATGGAGATGGGGTCTCATCATGTTGCCCAGACTGGCCTTGAACTCCTGGGCTCAAGCAATCCTTCTGCCTCGGCCTTTCAAAGTCCTGGGATTACAGGCATGAGCCACTGTGCTTGGCCAGCTTATTAATTGAATTAAATACCAAGATTTTCATTTAAGACAAGAAAAACATAGAGTCAAGGAAGAAAAAGTCTGCTTGCTAAATAGGAACTGGAATATCACTCTGAACTCATGATTAAACAAGCAAAAAACTTTTTCTTAGTTCTCTCCTCTCAAAGCACCTAGAAGCAAAGATACTGCAGCAGCAATGAATATGAAAAACATCCAGAACTTGGTTTCTATATATGATTTCTCACTAAAAAGAACCAAGACTCCTTGGATAAACAGCCCTTTCCAGAGGTGAGCAAAGAAAGGATAAGACAGACCCTGGAGTAACTTGTGTCAGAAAGCACTCCAAGGTTAACGGGGCGCAGGGGTGTCAAACACACAAGAGTCTGCCTGAAATGGATCCTACTGACCAAATCTGGGACAATTTGGTCATTAAAAAGAAAAATGACTGTAACTGGTTATAAAACAAGGAATAAATTAAAATCCATCAGAGTCTGAAGTGGTATCATTCACCCCTCCCCCAAAAAACATCTTGTATGTCATCAATGGGGGTGGCTATTTCTCCAGCTCTTTACTCTGAATATTGAAAAGTAAAGAGATTAAATTTAACATTTAATTTGCATTTTGGGGAAGAACAATAGTTTATTTACCTGCATTTAATGAAGGAAATCTCTTCCTTAGAGAGAATCTCCAATAAAACAACTGATTTAAGCAAAAGTCATCATGGGTGCTAGGCAAAAGGTTGTCAGAACCTGGGTATTTGCTTAGTGTCCCAGTATTACCCCAAGATTACATGTTAATCACAAGCTGGCAAACCACACCTTTACAACAGATCAGCAGTCAGACTTTCATCAAATGGTCACATTTAGCATCATTAATAGTGTGGGAATCTGACATTATGTGCCTCCTATGTTATGCAATAGGAGGTACATAGCATCACCTATTAAATATTTTTGCCAAAGGAAGTTTTACTTTAAGCTAATTAAGCCTTCCTTTACACCTAACTTCCAGTTAATAGGAAATTCGGGGAGAAAGAGGAATAAATGAAATGACATTAGGAGGGCACAAATCCAGAATGTGGGTATATTTTACAAGACAACTGGTTTGGTCAATTAGGTGTCAAGAAAAAAGGAGGGAGGGAACATTCATCCTATTCAATTTCCCCTGCAAAAAGGAGAGGGGATGGATACTCTTCATTTTACAAAAAACACTAAAGACTTAATCACCAAATGCAATCAATGCATGAATCTTGACTGACTACAGCTGGGGGCGGAACCCTCAAAGACACTTTGGAACAACTGAGGAATTTTGAAGATGGAGTTGTTAATTTTAATAGGCATTAATAATGATACTGGGGTTAGTAGGAGAATGTCCCTATTTTGAGGAAACACGTGTTGAAACATTTGAGGATTAAGGTGTTTGCAGCTTACTTTCAAATAATTACACACATACAGAGAAAGACGGGAAACAATATGGCAAAAATGCGAACCACTGAATTGGTTATTCATTGCATTGATTAGCATTTTTATTCATTGCATGAATAACCGATCACAACTGTATAGAACCAACCTCTGCAAGACTAAAATTTTTCATAACAAAGTTAATAAAATTGTACTTCTATTGAGAAGTACAGTAGAAAGTACCCGAAAGTACACCTACACCGGAATTATATTTGGGTTGAAATCTAAACTATCTTACTACTCGTGTGTCCTTAAGGCAAGTTATAATTCTTCGTATCACTGAGTTTGTCACTTCTATAAAATTCAAGTAACAATATCTGCATCACTAGGTTGTTCTGAGAATTAAGTACAAATGCAAAAATGCCAAGCAGTACTGCACAAAATAAATAAATCTGGTTTTCATAATCAATATATTACTAATAATCCCAAAATACAAAACTACAGTACAACGTTCATTATATTCACATTCTATGAGAAGGGGGAACTACATTAGGTAAAATTATTATTAATCCACTGACAGTCCCAGTGAAGTAATGGGGGAAATGAAGATTTATACAGTATTTTTTAAACCCAAGAATTCCAACTGAACACCTAGAGAAAAGGAAATCAAAATTGTGCAGCTTGCTTCCGGTATTAGCCGATCTCCAAATAAAACACTAAGAAAATAAGTGGAAGTTACAGAGAATTTCTTCCTGACTTCAAGACATTATCTACTTACATGCTAAAAAAGAAATTAAGTTTTTGTCTTCATTTCTGTAAGTTCCAAAAAAAGCACACAATTACAGGGTTTTATTCTAAATTCTGCTTGGATTCTAGAACTCACATGGACGCAATTTCCTTTAATCAGTTCTAACGTACCTGTCATTTCTCGAGGTAACCCCTTTTTCTGATTAGGCCAGCAATAAAACGACTAGATGCAGAGTGATCCTCAGGAAGGAAAGAAAAAAAGGTGTTTGTGTGTGTGTGTGTGTGTATATACACATACACACACACACATATATATATATATATATATATATTTTTTTTTTTTTTTAAAGAAGTGCCATCTTTTTCTTTCCTGTACCAGAGAAAAAGCAAAAGGGGAAAGGAGGAGAAAAAAAAAACAGGTCTGAACCTCCCGGGTTCGACCAGGTGAGAGGTGGCAACACCTCCGGCCGCTCCGGGTTAGGGTGTTGGGCAAATGAGCGTGCAAAGGACAGGCAGCTCCCCGGAAGGTCGGGGTAACTGCTCCGGGACCGTGGGGCCCAAGGCCGGTCTCCTCCCAGAAGGATTAAATGCCACCGAGGGGATCCCGTGGGGTGTCTCCCGGCGCGGACCAGGGTGACAGACCCGCTCTCCACTCCCTCCGGCGCCAGGTGGGGGCCACGCGGTGTCAAACCCGGGCAGCGTGCAGGGGCCGCCCCCCGCGCGACCGGAGCCCGCCCTCCCCTCCCCGTTACCTGCGGGCGGCGGCGCCGGGCCCGGAGGCCTGCTGCTCCTCCTCCTTCTCCCGCCAGGCTGGGGCGGCGAGGCGGCGGCGGCGGCGGCGGCCCGGGGGGAGGGGGCGGAGCGCGCGGCTCGCTGCCTCTCTCCTCCCCCGGGAGGCTCAGGGGCCCCTATCTCGGGCCGCCGCGCCTAGGCCCGTGAGCAGCCTGTGGTTGGGGCATGGCGGCACAGCCCACCGGCGTGCCCGCGAGGTGGGAGTGCGAGGAGGCGGGGAGGGAAGCACCCCAGCGCTCGGAGGGGCCAGAGGGGAGGAGCCAGGGGGCCCGGGAGCCGCGCGCGGGCGGCCGTTGGGGACGGTTGGCCGAGGGCAGGCGGCTGTTTGGGGAGCGCGGCGACGGCTCGCGTGTTCCCAGCGGGGCGGGGTGGGGAAGGGGAAGGGGACTGAGGGGAGGGGAGGGGGAGGTTGGGAGGGAGCCGCCGCCGCGCGCTTGCGGGCCGGCGCCGCCGCCGTTGCCGCTCCGCTCACTACAGCCTGTTTGGGGGCACTTTGTTTGTGTCCCACAATGCTCTGCGCGGGCGGCCTGACTGGGGAAGGGGAGGAGAAGGGGGCGGGGCGGAGCGAGCTCGGGGGCGGGGCTCAGGGCGGGGAGGGGAAACGTGATGATTGCGCAAGCGCAGAAAATGGGCCCTCCTGACCGTCGGGACTTGCACTGTGGGTGACTCCGTCTCCTTAGACGGTAGAGCCTGCGTGACCCAGAGAGGCCGTGAGTTTTGACACTGTATTTTTGCATATGTGTTCACAGGTGCAGATTTACGTTCATATGCCCCGTAAGCCCTGTCCCATTTGTCCTTCCTCTAAGCCGTCCTCTTACCCAATTTCCCAATCACACCTGAGAAGCATTTCTCCGCAGGAGTCACGCTTACAGCATGTTTTTTTATCGAACTAAAAACATAACTCCTATTTTCTCGGGTAGTTTTGTAGCAAGGTCGAAATCGAAACACTTCAGCCCCTCTTCGGCGAGAGAGGTTAGTTGGTAGGGTGCCCATTGTTCACCCATGGAAACAGGCCTGCCAAGGGCCGCCCCGCAGACAGGTGAGCCCGCGCCGCCGTCGTGGGCGGACTGCGACCTGCGGCGGGTGTCTGGAGTGCGTGGCTCCTCGGGCCTCCTCGCAGTGCTTGCTGTCTGCCATTCTAGCACTTGCCTCGGTGACCTGGCAGGACGTGCGGCTCTTGAGATGAGTGGAGAAATGGACTCCCAGGTCCCTCTCGTTCCTCCAACACAGGGACACCTAGAGCTGCTCCAAAAGTATACCTAACTTCTTCCACAACCGTGCATCTGTCATTTTTACTACACCATCACTTACTTCCCTGGCCTTCCCGGAGGAAGTGTGCGGGCCATCGCGAAGTAACCGGTACCGCCCGGGGGTTTTGAAGTTCTTGGTCAACTGCAAAATCAATCAACCTCGGAGTTAAAACTCCTACGGCCCTGAGTCTTGGTTTCCCCTGGCCGGGCGGGCAAGCGCTCTCCGCACCGCCCCCGGAGGTCATACGGGCGCCCGGGCCTGCAGGCGGCAGCGCCCCAGGTGCCTGGGGGCGGGCGGGGTGCAGGCAGGTGCACCTTGGGCGCTTTGTGTTTTCCCACACCTCCAGCTTGCAAACCGAAAGACTTCTTTCCAGAGGGTTCTGTGCGAGGTGGGTGGACGTCCCGCTGAAGTAGAGTGGATTTTCCTTTTGAAACACTTGGCAGCATCTCACATTAATTCACTCTTTGAGAGACAAGCAGCCAAGCACCTGAACACCCTGACTCTTGAAATCTTCTTTAGGAATAAAGGCAATAAAAACAACTTCTGTTTTTATAGTCCTTCGCAGTTTCCAACAAGTTTTCAAGTATGTATAATATTATCTAATCCTCACAGCAACTGTAATGCACAGGTTTTATCACAAGTTTCTATTATTATTCCCACTATCATTTCTATTATTCCCATTTCAGAGATGAGAAAAATCAGAAAGATGCGAATTAGGCCCAGAAACTTTTGCACTAAGATTTGAAGAGGGGAAGAGATAGAAGGCGGAATGCTTACCTGGGAGAGGACTGGCGGCCACAGAGCAGGGCTCAGGAAAGGGCAGGAGCTGGGGCCCTGGTAAAGAATATGTGAGAATCTATGTAGGTGGTAAGCAACTGGACGAGAATCAGGGTGGAAATGAAGTAGTCAAATCCTATCTACCTCTTCTAGTGCCTTTAACAGGATAGTCAGTCAACAAAGACCATGAGGCAAGTCTTTTCTAAGTGTTTCTCCAGGGGCTGCGGTGGCAGCTCTTCAACTACTACACTGACACAAAAATTTGCTTTCTTTTGTAGTACAACTTGAAGTCAGGTAGAGGAATGCCTCTAGCTTTGTTATTTTTGCTCAGAATTGCCCTAGCTTTTCAGGGTCTTTTGTGGTTCCATACAAACGTTAGGATTGTTTTTTCTAATTCTGTGATGAGTGTCATTGATATTTTGGTAGGGATTGCACTGTACCTGTAGGTGGCTTTGGGTAGTATGGATATTTTAACAATATTAATTCTTTCAATGAGATTTCTTTTTTTTTTTTTTTTGGTTCTCTTCATCTTCTTTCATCAATATTTATACTTTTCCGGGTAGAGATTTTTCACTTCTTTGCTTATATTTATTCTAGGTATTTTATTTTGCTTTTTTGTAGCTATTGTAAATGAGATTGTTTTCTTGATTTCTTTTTCAGATTGATGGCTGTTAGTATATAGAAAATCAACTAGGCTGGGCACGGTGGCTCACGCCTGTAATCCCAACACTTTGGGAGGCCGAGGCAGGCGGATCACGAGGTCAGGAGTTCAAGACTGGCCTGGCCAACATAGTGAAACCCCGTCTCTACTAAAAATACAAAAAAATTAGCTGGGTACGGTGGCATGCGCCTGTAGTCCCAGCTACTCAGGAGGCTGAGGTGAGAAATCGCTTGAACCCAGGAGGCAGAGGTTTCAGTGAGCCGAGATGGTGCCGCTCCAGCCTGGTGACAGAGCAAGACTCCGTCTCCAAAAAGAAAAGAAAAGAAAAGAAAAGAAATTGATTTTTGTATCCTGCAACTTAACTGAATTCGTTCATCAAAGTTCTGAGAGATGGAGTCTTTAGGTTTTTCTAAATATAAGAACAAGTCATCTGCAAGCAAGGATAATTTGACTTCTTCCTTTCCAATTCAGTTGCCCTTTATTTCTTTCTCTTGCCTAACTGCTCTGGTGAAGCCTTCCAGAACTATGTTGGATAGGAGTGGTGAAAATGTGTATCTTTGTCTTGTTCCAGATCTTAGTGGTGAAAATGTGTATCTTTGTCTTGCTCCAGATCTTAGTGGAAAGGCTTTCAATGTTTTCCTGTCTAGTGTGATATTAGCTGCGGGTTTGTCATACATGGCTTTTATCATTTAAAAACTTTTTTTCCCTTAGATTATTCCCTTGTCTCCTCTGCTTTTCCCACTTAAAAAATTTTTTTTGGGAGACAGGCTCTCATTGTGCCATCCAGGAGTGCAGTGGTGCAATCATAGCTGAATACAGCCTCAAACTCCTGGGCACAAGCATCCTCTGGCCTCAGCTTTCCAAATAGCTAGGACTACAAGCGTGCCACCATGCCTGGCTAATTTTAAAACTTTTTTGTAGAGATGGGTCTTGCTGTGTGAACTCGGGCTCAAGCGATCCTCCCGAAGTGCTGGGATTACAGGCTGAGCCTTTTCCTGCTTTTCTTTCTCATTTAACATTTAAATATTTTATCATCCTTCCACTCCACCCCCACCTCAGATCTGAAGAATTTATTAACTAACAGGTGACTGTGAGGCCCTTAAGAGTTCAATGCTAGATGCTTGGAGAGGGTGTGAGAAAAAATTCAAAGAAGATTAACTTTGCAGGAGCCCTCTTGTCTGTTTTGGCTCTGGGCAGGGTCAGTTTCTGTGGCTTCTGCAGCCTCCCACCTTTTTCCTTCTTGAGCTGGTAGAGACTTGCCTCTGGGTTGCTGGAATATACACACCTTTCTTTGACATTAGGTTAAATAATACTGCTGGGAGGATTTTGTGAAATCAGAATCCTGTACACAGGTGAAACAAACAAATGTAGACAGTGTGAGGAACCTTTAATTATTAACCCGGTGTGGATGATTCTGAGGAATTCAAATTCCAGGCAAATTCCAGGAGTTATATTTCAGCCACGAGCTGTCTGGGGGACTAAATTCTGCAAAAGATGGCACTTCCTTGTGGAAGACCATTAGAACTGAATGGAAACTTAGTTATTTAGTCCAAAAGCATTAGCATTAAGGCATGAATGCTTTCTACCTGCCCTTGCTTCCTTATAGGATTATACAACTACATATATAAAAAATTAAATTCACTCTCTTACCCTAAAATTTATACGTCTTCTGGTGTTCACATTTTACCATTTACCCAATGGAGCAGATTGACTTTGCTACTTCATTATTGTATCTCAATTCCAATCCATCAACAAGTCCTGTTGAATCTGTCCCTCTCCACTGCCGCCGTCCTAAAATAAAATGATACTAGCTTATGCCTGGAGAATTATAATACCACTCATGTGGTTTCCCAAATGCATTCTCCCTTTTCCTCATTCTCTACGTGGTCGCCAGAGTTGTAATGCATAGCAGTCATGTCAGCCAACAATGGCTTCCTATTGCTCCCAGGATAAAGTCCCAAACCCTTAGCATGGCTTTCACACCACTACGCAATCTGGGACCTTTCAGTGTCTTGAGCTTCATCTCTTGACTATGCTTTTTCAGGAAACATGCCAGTTGCAGAGGCGGTTTTGTTTTTTCTTTTCTTTGTTTTTTTTTTTTTTTTTTTTTTTTTGAGACAGAGTCTCACTCTGTCGCCAGGCTGGAATGCAGTGGTGGGATCTCAGCTCACTGCAACCTCTGCCTCCCAGGTTCAAGCGATTCTCCTGCCTCAGCCTCCTGAGTAGCTGGGACTACAGGCACACACCACCACACCCAGCTAATTTTTGTGTTTTTAGTAAAGACGGGGTTTCAGCACATTTGAGACCAGGCTGGTCTCAAACTCCTGACCTTGTGATCTGCCCGCCTCGGCCTCTCAAAGTGCTGGGATTACAGGCATGAGCCACCGCTACCAGCAGTTTTTTTTTTTTTTTTTAACATCTTCTAAAATGCTATGCTCTTTCTCCACTATGTATATTATTTCTTCTGTGTAGAAATACTGTACTCCATTCCTTAGCTGATATCCTTTCAATCCTCAGGTCTCTTCTTTTACATTTAGATGCACATATATAGACACATGCATATACATATGTCAGCTTCCTTGAGATATAATTCACATACCATATAATTCACCCATTTAAGGTATGCAATTAAATGGCTTTGGCATATTCACAGAGCCGTGCAACCATTACCATAATCAATTTTATAACGTTCTCACTACCCAGAAAGAAACACATACCTGTTAGCAGTCACTCCCATTTTCCCCCAACTCCTCGGCCCTAGGAACCACTAACTTAGCTACTTTCTGTGTGTACGGATCTGCCATATATTTCTTTTTT